ATATACTTAGTTCGCGTTCAAAATCATATTAAATTTAATAATAAAATTGAACCAATCAAAATTAATCATTTCAATAATAATTAGGAAATGATCGATATAAAAATCGACCAATCATACAAATGTCTGCCATGCTGAGCACTAGTCATAACTAACATTCTTGGCCCACCTTCCAGTATCCGCAGATCAGATTTCTTGAAAATACCTAAACATCCTCGAGGACTAGAACTTGACATCTACTATCTGCAGTATGCATTTGCTATAGAGATACAGGGCAAACAACATGAGCAACATATAAAATATTTTCACAAAAGTGAAGACGACTTTGAGAAACAGTTGATGCGTGATCAACTCAAGAAAGAATTATGTGAAAAGAACCAGATTGCATTAAGGTATGTTTGGTATTACGAAGACCCATATATAGTTATTCCTGAGTATCTTCGTGAATCAGGTCTCATCAAATAAAGTAAAAGCTTTAAAATTCACTATTATTTTTTTCGACTATAATTTTATTCATCCGAAAAATCACAATGTGGGAAGTCACTTGTTTGAAGATCTTTGTCAAGTTTGGGTGGAATGACGTAGTATGAATCATAGCACATGATCGATCTCGTTGATAAAAATGATGGATTCTCCAAAAAAAATTTTCATTCTCAAATCATGTTACGTAGAATCATTCCTCCTTTAACGAGTTCTGTTTTCACCCGTGGCACCCGCAGGGGCCAGTTCCGTTTATTATTCACGTCAAAAGTAAAATTTCAGGAGTTTTCTGCACAACAGGAATAGGAAAGGCTTGAACTACTCAAAAAGGTCTCTGATTATTTATAATTACCGTAAACATGAAAATTATTATATTTAATACTCCTAATGTTCCTAATACTCCTGACTTATTTCGTTTACAGATTTACTTACCTCTTTACGAAACTAGTAAAGGGCCAGGATGGATTGAATTGCTCGAATCTGAAAAACTTTGGGAGGATCACTTTCAACCGTTTCGATGGATGTCACGAGATTATGGTATGAATTGTAATCTCTTATGTTCTTGCAACTTTTCAACTTTTCAACTTAAAAATGCTAATTTATTTCTCACTCAACAGACTATCAAATAAAAGTAAAAGATTTGTTGAAGGCAGTCGACACTCTTAAATCTTCTGTAAAAATCCCTGTTATAGATATTTTACGACGTGTTACTGCCAGTTTTGCGCACTCGAGTTGTGCCATAGAAGGGAATACATTGACAGTACATGATACACGAGCAATTTGGGAGAAGTTGAAAAAGAACAACTTGGATATTTTGTTGGAAAATCAAAAGCTTCTGCTTCCTGGACCAAGATCTCTTTCTGATAAACCAGAAAATGAAGCAATAGAAATTCGAAACCACCTACTCTCAACTTATTTGGTTAGTAAGTTTGCTGAGCTAGAATGTGAGATTAATTTAGATGATATAAAAGATATTCATCGTGTCCTTTTAAGAGATACGCCAATGGAGAAATTTGAATGAGAAGATGAGATTAATAATGCAGGAGAATTTCAGAAGATAGAAGTATTAGCAAGTCACGCGCATTTGACTGTTTATCCAGTAAGTTTAAGTTTATTATTCATTGTCTGCCGAATCCTTTTTATCAAGATTCTTATTTCACGATCCTTTGTAGTATCCATAAGAAGTGCCTGCATTAATGAAAAGGTTTATAGAATTTCGCGATGAGTCCATTAAAAATGATAGTCTTCATCCTCTTATTATTGCGTCTCGTATATTCTCATCCTTTAATCATGTTCATCCATTTGCCGATAGTAATGGACGTGTTGCTCGTTCAGTTATGGCATATTATCTCATCCGCAATGGTTACCCACCTATTGTTTTCTAGCAAATGAAACCAGGTTTAATGGCAACTTGCTTGTATATGACACAAGCTGGTAATGATTTAACCTTTTTATACAACTTGGTGTTGCGAAATATGATTAGTATTTTAATGAGATATCAACAATAAGGAAACAATATTATTTCTTATTATGTAATTATGTAATGTAATAAAAAAGTAAAAATGTAATACACTTTAAAATAAAGCCCAAAATGTGAGCAAATGAATAAATGCTTTAATGCTTTATTGATTTTATTACAGTAATATATTGGAATGAATGAAAGATATTAGAATAGATCATGTTTAAAGGGAGGAATAAAGCACGAAATGAATAATATCATGCTTTCCGCCGGCCTCTAAGCCAAATATAGCAGTTCCTTCTCACTACCCCATATTATTTTCGTTATTATTATTTGCGCTACTCGCGTTATTATTATTATTTACACTACTAGTAACTTCTTTACTTTCTATCCATCTTATAATTAACATCACGGTGCTAAATTTTGGATCCCCTCTACCATAATAAAAATTTTCCACAGTACTCTTCCCAATCTTTTTCCCAGTATGATGACGAATTTTACGTCTCACAGTTTCAAACGCATAGTCATTAGTCTCCCCCACTTCCTTTTTCGAGTCGAAAACTCGCTTAAAACAGTTTCTATTTTCTTCAAGAGATGAATTGGATGAAGCAGATGATGCACTCTGCTGATTAAATTCGTCTTAATGCTTTTGAGCAACTGCATAACGTTAGATCATTTCATTTCGGAGAGCTTCAATAGAGGTCTTGATCGAAGTGAATTCAGATGAAACGTTACCAAAATCATTACGGCAAGCTTCTTCAATATTATCGAGTCTTGTGGTCACATTATTAACTATCGATAAAATTTTTTGCGCCTCAGAGATATAACCAGCATCACGTGAATTGATTTTAACGATTTCTCCGGTAAGCTTCTTATTAAGTTCATTATTGTTTCTGACAAGCTCCGCAGTGAAAGTAGAATTAACTTCAAAAAGACGTGTGGAAAATTCGTTGGCGATTTTAGTACTAACTTCTGTGCTAAACTTTTTGTTCATTTCAATAAAGGTCTTTTCGATTTCCGCAGTAGTACTTCCACCACATGCCTTATTTTTTTCGATTTCTGCGGTGAGATTAACATTAATTTCAGATATACGTGCAGAAAGCTCATTAGCGATTTTATTATCACATGAAGGGAAGTCATTGGAGAATTTGTTTCTGATGACATAAATCAAGAAAAATGTGCTAAGAAGAATAGAAGGTGTAAAGTCTTCAAAGATATGCCACAAGGCGTTGTTTTGCAAGACGAGTGCAGATATATTTTCAGAGTGAAGTAGAAAAAAAATATGTTCAGGTATGTTAGATCACAGGTAGTCTTGCGTAATTTTTTACAATTTATTAGTATGATTTATCGCTAGTGAAGCTAAAGGTAAATCCACACCCTTTTTATACATTTTACAATCAGTTCCACGGCAAGGTTCCCAAAAGAATCACCCATTAATGCTAGTATAATTAGAAGAGAAAACCCGCGTCGAAATAATACAGGCCTGGAATAATTGTGAAAATGATATCATGTATATGCTCCTCATTTCTAAAAAAAGAAAATTATCAAGATCCTGTCTGGATCCTGTACCTAAAGACGTAAAAAGTTAGTACATTCTCATATTCCCATATCCCCAACAACATATTCAAGCAATGAAATAATAATATTTTTTCGTAAATGCTTGGCCGTGAGGCCTTACGTAAGAGAAAAGTTTTTTATTAATAAAAATTTATTGAAATATTCGTTGGATCCCTCTGGGATCACGTATGTACAGTACAAGTATGTGAATAAGCTATATTATAAAGTACATTTTTGTCTAAAGAAAGACTGAAGGAAGAACTAAATATCTGTATATGAGACGCCGTTCACAAGAAAAATTTGATGTTTTTTTTTTCTTGCTTCGAACATATAAGAAGGCGGGAGTTCTATTCATTTGTGGCGCAGTTCGATTCGAAGTCCTTCACCATTTACCCCTATAATGTACATCAAAATGAAAGGGAAATAGGCAGGGTATTTATAAAAAATATCAGACAGATCCGCATGAATATTTTTGCGAAAAATTAGCCATTTTAGGAATAAAATTATCAGGAGTATTGGCGTAAATTTTACATCTCTTGTACTTCCACGATTTGCAAATATGCGCAGATTATCTAATAAAATATACTGCTTATTTGATATGACCAGGAGAAAAAATTGCGCTAAAATGAATATCCAATGAACATGCTAAACTGATATACTATAAATTTATACAATGAAGTAATTGTATATCTACCGTTTATTATCTAGATTGGCTGGATATACCCCTATTGCAAAAAAAATCTGAATAAAGATTATTAATCATGGATCGAGATCTGTAAAAATAGTAAATGATAAATCACCCATGCCGGATTACGTACTGCTAATTCCTATGACTTTATCCCAAAAACGGATTAATGTATGATTAGCCTATACACGTAATTTGTATGCGCTAACATCAGTAGAATAATAAAAATATACCATTTATCTGAGGATCTGTAAATTATTGATTCTAATCGGCTCTATTTCCATTTTTGAATTTCTTTTTATCAACGCGTAATGAGTGAGATAGAACATACCAGAACTTTGGGGAAAGTTCATCAGTATGTCAACACAAAATATTGCTCTTGGCCGGGGTTATTAATAGATCCTCTAAAAATAATGACTGCAGATGCTGGTGACGTACTACTACGTATAGAATATTCTGCGGAATCACATGCGTTTACTACAAAGAAGAATAGATGACGCTTTACTGTACACGATATCTAAGCCACCCACGTGATTCGAAAAAAATAATGTGAATATATATGGCAATCTTACGTCGCACAACCTATTCTTTGGCAAGAATTTTTCCGATAATGCACTGCGCATTTCAGGTAATCAGTTCACATGACGGAGTTTTCGTCTATGCTTTTACAGATACTATTAGGATATCAGGATTAAGAGCTTCCCTGCATTCGAGCCAATAAGTTCATTCTCCGTAATATTTACCAGCACCCCATTCACCTCTTATATCATTCCATATACTTTTTTCTTTATGCTCTCCATTACATAATGGACAGAGTGTTGAACTATTAAGATTAAATCGCTCACCACGTTCACTACTATCGCTTAAAGATAGAGAAGGAAAACGCTCTAACACTAACCCAATGATATGTTTTCGTTTCTCTTCGGGGTCTTCAGGCAAGATAGAAATCGGGAGTCGAGATTTGTTAGATTTATTTATCTGACTAGAAGAAGTTATGGATGATACACTTACTTGTGATTTGACTGATGGAGTATCTTTGCTAACCGTACTCATATTTACATTGGGTAATTTTTTCGGGATAGACTCATGACTTTTCTCAAGTGGGACTTTAGGTCTCACTTTTTCTACATTTTTGCATCCAGAATATGAGTTAGGCTTTTTTAGCTCCATATCAGCATAGCCAGTTCCACTAAAATAATCCAGAATAATTTGGATTTGAGACTTAGTAAACTTTGAAATAGAATCCGCGCTGTAAGACTTGATATTCTTAATTCTATCTACTCCTATCTTTTCGAATAGTTTGTAGATCTTTATGGCCCTTTGGGTTCTTTTACGCAACGTTTCCAATGTTATTCCAGAAAGATGCTTTATTATATCCTGGAATAATTGTTTTCTTACCGTCTGATCTGAAACATTATCTCTGGCAATAATTTCTTGAACACTTTCTTCGAACCTTTTCCCATATGAGTAGCGACATAAAATCTCTTTTTGTTTAGCTTGCGTAGTGTTCTTCCCTTCGATACTTATATTTAGAAATAAATGAGCAAGCTCAACTTCTATTGTCATGTCAGTTGTAAGCTCCTGATTTCCATCAATAACTTGGACATCATCTTCATCTATCAACTCCGAAGACACTTCTTGTATAAAATCTTGGGCTACTATATAATCATGGGAAACTTTTGTATCCTTGGGTAGTACTTGAGCTTCTCCTGTTCCGCAAACACTCAATTTGGTTGATGATTGCGAATTGCTTGTATTGGTTTCAGTTTCCGCAGAATCTTCTGCCGGGCTTGAGGCGACACAGTCAGGCGCTTTCAGCAGGGACATAGAGGAATTATTCTGGGAAATTGAGGACTCGTCCTGATCTTGGCTTGAATGTGTTGATTCATGCAAAAGCTTTTTCTCTCTATTGTGTTGCCTCATCATATCACTAACATCTTTCTTACTTACCGAAATCAGGAATTCATCAATCTGTCTACCCTCCAATGATTTAGACCCTGCATGGGTGGGTTGAGTTACATCGGAGCTATTTCCAGAGTTACCATTAATAGGCGGTGAAATGGATGATTGGGAAGTTACCTGTAATTCTGAACGAGAGGGAGATTTCACCACGGATGTCCCGTCTTGCACCGAAACGTTAATAGCAATTTGCTCCTGCTTGATTTTGCCGACATCACAATTTAGTTCTGCAATGAGCCCAGCCTTTTCTTTATCGCTCTGCTCTAGTTTTACGAATCTGGCCTCATTCTCTTCCATAGCCTGCCTTAATTTAGCATTTTCAGCTTTAACCTCGGCATTCTCGGCCTTAATCTCGGCATTCTCAGCCAGGAGCTCGACGACGCGTTGTTTCAATGAATCAAGTTCGGATTGCATATTCGATAACACCTTTCATATAGAACGCGATTTATTTAAAATGCATTTTATCCAAGTGGGACTTTAGGTCTCACTTTTTTATTCACCATACGTCTCCATATCCCAAGAAAAATATATTTGATACAATGTGAATAGAATTTTCAGCTTCATTTATTGATGCAGTAAATAAATTACATGATTCGATGATACATAAACATGTTTTGTAAAGCGAAATGGCGATTCTGTACTAATGCCTGCCAGTATTTCGTTCATCTAAGGCTAAGCTATCTATATACTAACACAATATCCCAACACTAACTCTAATCCGATTTCATTTGTCCCCAACATCGATATTCTGGATAGAATAAAATGGTCGTCAATTATACATAGAACTCGCGGAGTCAGAAATAAATTAATAATATTGACTTAGTAAAACTCACCGAAAGTTTATGTTCTCCGCTCAATAAGGTCCTCGAAATTTCTGAACAAAAAAATAGATATTAGTTCTGCAAGCTCTGAGTCGCTTCCCCGCAAATGAAGTGTCTCGTCCGGACTTCAATAATTTTTCGTCAACACCTTTCAAACTGCTAGCGAGACGGAGAAAATAGTTTTGGGTGGCCAGAGTAAGCGTTACTGCGTTTTATCTGCCACGGTCGATCGTATGACTACAGTAGGCCTGGTTGATTGGAATTTTCGATCGTGGTTCATGTCTGATCGGGTTACACCACCAACCAATAGAATTTGTGATCAAAAATGCCAATCAACCTGGCCTAGTGTAGCACAATAAAATTTGACTCTTCTCTTTTCCACCTCATCATATTTATTAATACGTAACAATGGATAAAAAAATGGATAACATTAACTTTGTCTCTACTAGTTCTATTTTCGATAACCTAGATCTTCATGCCAAACCAATGGTCCTCCGCTAAACATGCAATGGACGTTAGGCGAGGTAATTTTTAGCTGTTTATGAGTAACAGGAAAAAAATTTCTTAAATAATTTTCATCCTAGATCTGGGAGTGCATCGAAAAAATGGCGGGGAGGAGCAGAAAGGGTTGGTGGGTATACACCAAAATTCTTCTTCCGTACAAGGAAGACAACCGTATTTTCAACAATCCCAATGGACGTCCAAAACCAATAATACTGAGGGTGAATGGGGGCACGATCACTATTGCAACTCCACCAGATGCTGTCTGCTACTTGTACACGATCAATCTACGTTTCTCAAAGAAAACAAAGGAGAGGATGAACTTACTATATCAGCACCAAGACCAAATCTGTCAATGGATGACTGTAATGGAGCCCAGTCGCAAAAGGCAACCATACACAATCAACGTTTCCTGGAAATCAAGTCAGGAAAGGATTGTCAACTTTGCATTTGGTGCATCAGTTACAGGATGCAGTCCGGGGGAAAGGGACAAATTATGTACACTCCGGCAAGTGAACGACAATTGTCTTCTTCCTCGGGATTAGTATGGAAAGGTGATTCCGACAATGGAGTTTTGGGAGTTCGGGAACTGCGCGGAGACGAATGCTTGGACTTCTTTATGCCAGTGGAGACCAGACCTCCAGATCGAGTCTCGAACAATGATAGTATACAAAAGGAAGTGAAGGAACAATGCAAAAACTGCAAAGCTACTCAGAATTGATCGACACATTAAAGAATGATCGCGAGTTTCGCGAATTCCATGGACCTACAGACGAATGGTTAATCGACCAAGAGTATAGGGAATACTTCAATGAAACATATCGTATCACCAATATTTATCCACTGTTGATGGATCATTCTGGAACGGTTATGTTTTTTTTAGATGATCGCGGTATTTTATTTGCATGGTGCGAAATGACAAAAGAAATGGATATTTTGGGAATTAATAAAATAGAGGGTCTTGCGAATTACCTCTACCACCCAGAAAAGGTGTGTTCCATTATGGAGGACACCGGTGAGCTGGTACCTAGAGTGGAACTTAAACGTCGCGTAAAGGAAGAGATGGCAAAGGAAAAGTTGGCGGAAAAAAGCAAAGAAAAAAAGATTGGCAGAGGAAAAGCAAAAGTGATATAGGCGTTTCACTATAAAAAATACATGTTTTGCCATTTGATCTTTCTGATTTGTGTGATCTCCAGGGTTTTTAATTCTTATCATTATCACGTGATCTTTTGCCTTTGATTTTTTATGTTGCCTTTTTGCTGAACATTATTGTATATAGTGAGTTTCTGTATATATGAGATGTGCTTTGCGATTTTATTGTACTAAATAAACAATATTAAAAATAAATTAGCATGTTTTCACTAAAAAACATTACATTTTTTATTTTCCAATATATAATTACAAAAGCCCGATATGGGCAAAAAAACTTAATTCAATGCTTTTTATGTATTATAGCCATTTTCTAAGAAAAATAAAAATCATGTGACCACATGTTTTGTCAAGAAAATCAAGAAAACTTTTTATTAATACAAAAATAAAAGATTCGGGACTTTGCCCGTAGTACATGACGAAGTTTTTATGCTAGTGCTCTATCCCATTCTGCTAAGAAATTTGCGTGAGGGCCGTCACAGAAAAATGCGAAGAAAAAAGTAGGTACCAGATTTCCAGGACCAGCGGTCTCGGAAAAATGCCAAGAAAATTTTTTATTAATACATGTGAAAATAAATACAAGATCGGGACCTAGTCCACGATACATATTATTTTTTGATAATTTTTTTGATCCTAGCCCTCTTGCTAGACGGAGAACTATCTACACTAACCCGATC